GGCATTTTTTGGAAATGTTAAGACCGAGATTGATCGGTTGCTTCTCATATACAGAAATACGACCCTACCCTATTGATAATAACACTTCAGCCCTGAAGTGTTATGGGACCTTCTCAACACTTCACACCTCCTCAGCCTTTCAAACACCTTCACTTTTTTCAGAAACCCTGAGCCCGTCAAGCCTTTAGACGCCAAATGATTGTGAACCATAGAACGAAAGAGCAATTTAAAACTTTATTGGAAATTTATGTAAGACATTTAGTTTTACATACGTGTTGTAACTCAAGAAGAGGATAACAACCGACGTTTGCTCAAACTTAGGTACAAGCAGCTGTAGACGAAAGCGATCAAACCAAACAGGAAAAACAAATGTTTTTGTCCCAAAAATTATATTTCAATGTACTCACAATATCGCTGAGTAAATTCCTGAGATGCACAATAGTTCAAATAATAAAACGGAGCAAGTGCACCACGTGGACACAAACACACTGTCAGTAGCGCGTTTAGCAAAAACCACGAACGCGGAACCAACATCCGACGCTATTGGTAAATCCTCAGCACAGTTCCAGTGTTGTCTCTGGCTTCTTTTTCGCTCGCTGGATACTTGGAAGCCGGACGGACGAGGAATTACGAATAACTGCGAAGAACAGGACACTGAAAGACCTTCTTGATCCGCACACCCAGCTGCTCTTGAAGGTAGGTCCCACGCATTAGAAGGGGAAGCTGACACTGAGCGTCCGTTCGTTGTTGTGCCTTTAGTCTGCGCTCGATGACAGAAAAAAAAACAGGGCGACCAGGTTCTGGCAAAGGATGTATTTCAACTTACTAAACAGGTTTTCTTCAAGCAAAAAGCAAATCGTGCCCCTCCCAATTTTTCCACGCACCTTCTTTCCGTTGGAAGCAAGGACTTTGCGGAGAGAAATACTGGGGAAAGGCGGAATCTAGGAAAGCTGAAGAGAAAAAAAAAACACAACAGGCTTTATTTTGCGCTCGCCCGTTTCATTTTTGCTGGGACCGTCCCACCACGGCAAGAGACGGGGAACGTCTCCTCAATTTCCAAATCTCGACGCGCAACCCAATTCAAAATGGCGAAGCGGCTTCCTCGACTGAAAAGATCCTGAAGGGTTAGGTGATCTGTCCCAAAGAGCCGTTAAAACCATTTTGAGGGGTGCTCAGGTCATGTGAAGGAGATGGACAGACCCCACAAGCCTCTCAAAAAGCTAAGACGGATCTCTGGCACCCTTTACGAATTCGTAGAGGGTACGTCAGGCACTTTAAACAATTTTGATGGACGTGTCAAACACATCAAACGTTTTTGATGGGTAGGTCGAAACATTTCAGAAATCCTGGCGAGCCCCATAGACAGATTTCCAACAAGGTACTGAAATAACCTGTATAAATATGTGTGCAGGTTGGCCAGTTTAACTCATATCATTTTATCGGACAGAGTACCTGAATCCAAAGTTGTCTCCCCGTATTCATACCGGACCTGTATGCGTACGTAACGTGTATGCCTATAGATTTTGCTCTATGCACCAAGGTGCCCCTTTTGAAGGGATAGCACAAAGCTACCAAGCAGAAACCGCTTAAAAAGAGGGATCTACAACCAACAGAAAGAGAAACAAGACTATCAATAATGAAATGTGCGACGAATATTAGAACGAGAAAGTGGGGATATTTGACTTCCGTTGTTTAAATGAATATATTATACCGGTACACCACACTAAACTTTACCCAAGACTTGTCTCCTTTCCGAGTGTGTATTTGCTGATGTGGCTGTAAAGTTAGAAAGGGTTGTAACTCTTACACTTCAATTACATCCCCTCGTTCCTTCTTTAAAAGCCCCTCAAGTTACCACGGCCACTGGAAAGGGGTACAGAGAAGTTTGTGTAAATTTCTCCGCAGGTGTAAATTTCTTTGCTTTAAAACCTTGAGCATCCGGTCAGAAGAGCGAAACGGCCGATAACTCCGAATATATCTTAAATTCAACGACAATAAGTATTGTGTAGTTATAAAAATTGCTTGTGAGTATCATGTTAAAATGTTACGCGCGAATCTACTCTATAAATCTATAAAACGAACAAATGTCGTGGGTGCGTTCTTCGCACCCACGACATCGACATTTGGCGTCTTGTCATAGCCCTCTGGTGGTAGAACGTGTTCGGTATTGCCAGGCGTTTTAAAAACGAAATTTAGCAGATCCAGAATTCAAATTGATTAGTGATCAAACATATATTTATCGAAATAATATACATACTACCTTGTAATCTCGCAAGACCTAATGTATATAGATATAAAGATATACGAATATCTGTGCACCTAAATCAAATTAGTATCTTGACTCCGTCGGAAACCCAGGGAAACCAAAACTTCCACCGTCACTGCCTAGTTTTTGGGAGGTCTGGAGATTTTTGTTGGATATTACAACCGTAGATATGTTAGTTTTGTTTGGCTCATACACTTTTAGATTTTTTAAGAGCCCATGCAAATGAACATTGAATGTGAGATACTCGCAGAGTATCTCACATTCAATGTTCATTTGCATGGGCTCTTAAAGTGAGATTTCAAAATGCTATTGGGTATACCTGTATGACATACTGGCCTGACGGTACCGCCCACCGGTACGTAGTTATAGACCACCGGTACGTGTTTATAGGCAACCGGTACGTGATACCGGTACCGGTACGAAAGTGCCGGCCGCTTAGCTATGTAATTTATTGTTACCTGTAATCCTTTTGTCAGCGTACCTGTATCTCTTCACAGGCGACCAGCAAACCCCTGTGGGTGGCCTGTATACGATACCGGGTGACCTGTACCTGTTTACCGGAAACCGGAATTTTTATGGGGGTGACCCGTAGGTAATAAGGGTGACCAGTACGAAGCTCTATGTAACAGTATAAAGAAGTACAGGAATTATCAGTGGGGAAAGCTTGCTCACGTGCCACAATTCAGCCAAGATGCTCTTGGGCAGGAAGCTAAAGAAAACCCTGAACCTGATGCGGAAAGACACGGAAAGAAGTACTTTTGTGGCAGATCAAACTTGATACGGAAAGAATTACTTTTGTGGCAGATCAAACAAAAGTTACGGTGTGATCGAGGACTGCGCGAAGGAGCACCTCTTCAGCTCGGGCAGACTCTTTTTGCCCGATATTGCAAAAGAGGTTCTCGTGGATTCATGGAGTTGTGCTGCAGCCATCAAGTTTATCAGTAAAAGTAAAACTTAGTAAGGTTATTGGTTGTGACCGCCATGGTGATAATTTTTGAGAGCGACTTCTTCCACACGGGGCAACAGAAAACAAACTGCACGGGCTCGACATGTTTTCCGGTGAACAGGTGGAAGCACGCACGACATAGTGTTTGGAGTCGGATTCGTCGGCTAAAAGTTATTTAGGACAACGTTCTGAGAACACTGCTAGAAAATGTCCACATCCTTTGTCTGCAACTCAGAGAAATACAGTAATCCGGTACAATAAACTAACGAGAAACCCGGTGAAACCTTATCACCAAAAATTTAGAGCTTAATATGCTTTTTGCTTTGAGTTTTAGATTTAGGAAGTTTGCAAACTCTAATATTAAACAGGAGAGGAGACTTATGATGATGCCAGTTAAGCCACGCTTCGGTGGTTGGTGAAATCATAAATTTTCTGTCATAATTGTAAAGTACACGCTCTGGAACGATGCCTTATGTTCTTTCCTTCACCAGGCTTCCTTGGGTAGCTTCATAACAGTTGGTAACTGTTCTACGTTTGTCACATGCATCACAGAAAGGGGGCGAATGAAAGAGAACGAACCTTACTTTCGGTGCACGAAGCATAATCATGTACAAGGGATTGCAAGAGGGCAAAGAAGCTGAAATGTAAACATTATTCATAATGATTTGAAACAGTAATGGCCGACCCAAGCTGCATAGCAATGGTTAAAAAAAACTAAATCTAATGCGAGAAAGCAATTTCTAACAAAACAAGTGCTACAGTTTTCTTTCAATGCAACTGACAACAATAAAGTGGACCATTCTAAAGGACTACTAGAAACGGCAAATTCATCGCGTGCTCGTCATATGCTTTCAAAAGTGAACTGAAACGGGTTGCCGCACTAGATCGTCAGTTGACGGCGGTTTCAAGCTCGCTCGCTTTTTCTTATCTGTCTTGTGTCTTTTTTCTTTTCTTCGTCATCCTTCTCTTGCCCTTTGAAAGTTAATGAATTATAACAGGCGCCATGACCCTCCTCCCATCGCGATTACTTCAGTTACCAGGAAGGTCCAAAACCTAGTTTAGGCACAACAAAACGCAGACACAAAAAGCACAATTTCAAGATGCCTTCTTCGCGCTTGACTGAACCCGGTGGCTGTAAATCACTCATAAAAACACAAAAATTCAGTAATCTAGCGCTTTTCGAGGAGCTTGATTAACATTAGCTCGTAGTGTTGGTAGCTTTCAGACTTCAGATATAGCGGAGTGTACCAGTATAAGCTCCTACAAGCAGCATTGAAAGAAGCAGAATTCTTTTAAAGTTTGATTAAAGCATACTCCTCACACATTCCCCCCCCCCCCCCCATTAAGATATTTAAACTTGCAATGTCTTAATCATTCTGCTAAACTGGTTGTACACGTAGGCGTGTAGTGTGCGCAATGCATTCAAAACCTCCCAAAGCTACCCGTAACCAAGCAAAACAAATTCTAAAGCAGGTGTAATGCACACGGGACACATGCTGTGCAACCCCAGATTGGATGTAACAAGCGTGCACACGTAGCACGGCTGTAAATAATCGATTTGTTTTTATCAATACACAATCGTCAAAGGACTACCCGGGCTTCTCATAATGATGAGGACAGGATGTTTTGCTAAGTTTGTTTTTAGGTTAGCCACAGTATTAAGATGCTTTCGTTCGTGTCCTAGGATAGACCAACGCACAGACAAAGTGAACGCCAGGATTAAAGACTAGTCCTTTTTTCAGATCATTTTATATTTTAGTAGCTGTTTAATAATACATTTCTGTGCAGCTAAATTGATACTGGGCAGTATGAACGCCACCGAAGATCCATGCACTGATTTCTATGCCTACGTTTGTGGAAACTGGGAAAACTCCCACCCAATGCCTGATGACGAGACACTCCTAGGACATCATAGGATCCTCACTGATAAAGCCGAGGAGGACATCAAACGTACGTTTTCCTTATAGTATTCACTTCACCCTCTTTAGTTCTCTGGGGAATTATCTGTTAAAAATGTATAGCTATGAGGATGGGTTGTGATAATCACCATTTATTGGATTTCATTTCTTTGCCACAAAATACCGATACACTACATGAGGACAGAAGTAGTGGCGGAAGTCGTGTCATTTTATATTCATGCGAGCGATTATTTTATCAAGTAGCGATATAACAATTGTACAACATGCAGTGTAAGATCTTACAACGGAAGATCAATTGCTGTTTTCAGGGTATCGCAGTGCTTACCCAATTGAGATACCTTTACTCGGGCACAATTTCGTCGTCTTCTTCCGCTCATCTTTCATTTTTCACTCGCACTACAAACCGGCATTGTGTGAATATTTATGAGTGGTGTATGGTACGATGCAGCACATTATGTGGTATACATGGATATGTGTTGCGGGCTTATACACATTCGGATATGTACGCAATGAGTAAAAACGCATTTCATGTAATTCTCATTTTATACCTCAGTCTAAGGTGTTCAATATTTATCTTGTAATTATGAATCAACTCTAACTAGCCAAGCTTCCAGTTTTCTTGTTCAGACTGCTAGCCGGCGTTTCGCTACAGACGCGTACCTTAATTTTAGGAAAATCTTGCCTGCCAGTAGCCGGCTTCCCGAAGAACCCGTTTTTACTTCATCTTTCTAGCATTTGCTAAATTTTTCTTTTGTTAAAACGGATTCACGCTTCAAATTAAATAAAAGGATAATTACCACAAACGGTCAGGAAACCATAGAGTTACACTCAGGGCTATCTTAGAGCCGTGAAATAAGCTGCGATTGAGATAGCTTCAGAGTAACAACATTGCATTCATTTTGGTTTTGTTGGTTATTGCTGCCAGTCATCTTAAGCTATATCTTATAACATAGAATACTGTTTTTCGCACTTAAGTGGTGGTCTACGACGGAGCGAATCGATATTGCTGGAGCTTTCTGATCCCGTATCTTAAGCTTGAAAGTTTCATTTTAGAATCGAAACTGTCGCCAATTGCACCCTCTCTGCACCATGAACCAAATTGGCGGAAGCGACAAGCGGACCGGCGAATCTGGGGCGATAATCTAAGGGTATCTCAATTGAAATAGAGTAACTTATATAACGAGCTAATGTAGAGAGAAAATAATATTGTAGGTGCGTATTTCGATTTTGTTGAATCACCATACGGTGCACAAGTTTACAAATATATGTCATGAACCGCAATTCATTCCATGTAAAGAAATAAAAACATTATGAGTCTACTAATTTAGTAAGGTTGCCGATTACCACATTTCACCAACAGTTCATAATTTCCTAAGCCAAAAAGATGACATTGAACTAAGCATGTGTCTTTTTTTTTATTCAGATATTTTATTGAACGCCACGACTAAGCAAGATGAGCCGCATAATGCAACTGATAAGGCTATTCACGCCTACAGAGTCTGTGTCTGCGAAAGTACGTATCTTATTTTTTTATCAAAGGGCAGTGAATTGACGATAACTTTTTTCTACCCTAAAATAATAAAAGTTCTTGCATATTTCAGAGTGTCGTATCTGGACAAAAGCCTCAAGCTTATTTTGGCCGTGTCTAACAAAAAAATAAACGTAACATGCGTACAAGATTTTTGCACGTAGAACAAAAATTAGATGTATTTGGCGGCGGTTGTTTAGCCTGTGAAATGGAGCGGGGAATTCACATTTTGTCGTTACAGCCTTGCAACGGGTTTGCTGGGGGGGGGGGGGGGATAAAATACGTGTTCTACCTTAAAATACATATAGGCAGCTTCATATAGGCAGCTTCATATAGGCATTTTTATATAGGCAGTTATATATAGGCAGTTATATATTGGCATTCTATATAGGCATATAGAAATATAGGCGGAATAAGATTACATTTTATATTTTAATTAGAGGTGTGAGACACTTAAACTTTTATCTGAAATTGAATTTGAATTAATTAGAAGCCAAAACGTTCAATGTCAAGTCAAAAGTGGATATCAAAAATGTTAATAGTGATATCCACAAGACATGAAAACAGCATATATCAGTAGAAGAAAAAACGACAAGTTTTTTATTCTCAAGAGCACATGGAACTAGGAGAGGTTAGCGCGACTAAAAACAATGTTGTGGCAACACTTAAACGACTAGCGTAAGAAAGAGCTACTGATGTGTCTACCCATTCACTCGCAGAAACGCAGCGAGCTGGATGAATTGACGGCTGTGGCTCAAGAGCAACGCCGTGGGGGCGATGGGCTAACGGAAGCGTTGAAGGTAGAGTGAGTAAGCAGGCGGAGTTGGTTGATGCTACACATTTTTGAAAAACCGGAGACGACGGCCGAAAAAAAGAGACAACACACAAGATGTCTCAAAAGCAGCTATTCGCTGTGTGTTGGCCCCTTTTTCCGTACGTCGTCTCGGGTTTTTCAAAAAATGTATAACGGAAGAGACCGGGCTCATTATCGTCTATTATTTGTACTTTGATTATAATTTGCCATATTATGGACGTTCCAACCAAGAACACGGTCTATAGTGGACACTAATACTTACGTTGCTTGTATATTTAGATAGCGGGAAGCTAATCAGCCCCAATGGACATCTGGTGTCTGCGCTGAAAAGCAGACATTTGGCCGGTGCAGTCCCACTGCTAGCGTGTTGTCTTTAGCGTGCATCCCACAGATACATCACTGCACACCGGTATGATGCTCGGTCAGATCAAAATGTACAGCGAAGGGGATTAAGCCAGGCATAGCATCCTCTACACTCTCAAACTCTGGCAGTTCGACGACGGAGCCACACAGTGCCCGGTCGCAGATTTGGAGCGCGGGGATTTGGTAGCAGAGAGAATTTCTCGAAGAACCTGGTATTCAGCGCACAGCTTTTGCAGTGGCGAGGATACGAAACATGGGGTTCTCAAACCCGACGAGAGAACAAACTGTAGCGCGAGGAACACGAGGAGCACGAGCGGACATTTCATCGGTCGGGAGAAGTGTGTTTCGGCCTCTCGCCGCAGCGGGGCGCCCATCACCTGGCTTTCCTCTCATCCGCTGTCTGCCGCTCTACCTTTTCAGTTTTGGTGGCCGCGTCTCGTGGCCATCTGCAAGGCTTTATCAGTACAAAGGAGGCTATGGCCCAGGTCAACGTGTGTCCTTGCTACGTCGCGCTTGCACTCTTAGCCATCGATCCCTCGTAGTGCACAGAGCTGGCTGCAGCAGGTGCTGCAAGGCTCTTGATATTTGAAATGTCAATATGCGTGGATTCTGGGTTTTCGTCGAGCGTACCCGAGAAGTTGGGAGCATGACTGCATCCTTCGAGGAGCATATAAAATGAACTATACTTTTACGGCTCGTGTCTTAGGCGCCAGTTTCCGGGTTCAGCGTCGACGGCGTCGGCGTACTCGCGCGTTACATTGGGACGTTTCCCAAAATTACGTCGCACGTGACGTCACGTATGACGTCACGACGGTGACATTTTCCCGCTAAGTTTGGCGGGAAAATGTTTTGCTGAATTTTGATGGAGATTTTTCCGCTTAACTAAAGGCGAAATTTTTCGCTAAATTTAGCGGGATATTTCTCGCTAATTTTACCAGGGAAATTTTTCCGCCAAACTTAGCGGGCATATTTTTTCAAACGAGGCACCTTCTCCCGCAGAATTGACCGGTATTAGTTTCTGCTAACTTTAGCAGAGAAACGTTGCCGCTAAATTTAGCGGGGAAATTTTTCCGCTAAATTTAGTGGGAAACTTTTTCTGGTATATTGAGCGGGAAACGGTTCCCGCTATTTCACAAAGTGATTCCTTAGTCAAGACTGCCGTATATGCATGCTTTGTTTAGATTCAACCCAGGCCTGTAAGGACTAGTTCGTCATATGAACCGCGTTTCTGGATAATACCTATGTTCTGGCCTCCAGTCATTATATTCGATGCATCGAAATATTTACGATCACGAATGCTAGGATTGTGACAGTCGAGTCAAATTATTGGGAGAATCATTATTCGATTCGAATTCGAAACTGAAATGTGGTCGCACCACTATGTTTATTTTAAATGAGGAGCTATAAATCCAGTAACTAAAATTCGGATGAGCGCATCGACAACAAGGAACAAAAAAGGGCGTAAAAAACAAATTTATTTTATTCGGCTTAATTGTATCGCAAACTTTCTAGAAAAATATAAGTTTTGCTGCAAATATATATGTAGCGGACACTATTTGAATAATTTTATTTATTAAACAGCTGTGGAAGAGGAAAAAAAACTTGGGGACCTGCTGCAATTACTAAAAAAGAAAGGTTTTACCAAGTGGCCAATACTGGAAGGGGAAGCTACACCTTATGAAGACTACAATGAGCTGCTCACTAAAACAGGTTTTTTGCAACTCATTGGTTTTGAAGTAAAACGGGACGCTAAAAGAGTTGAAGAATATGCGATATACGTGAGTATTGAGCACCTTTTGTCCAAACCCTCCCGATGCTTCTCAACGCTTTTTACACGCGAACAATGCCGCTCAACCTCAATGCCGCATTGCAGGCGCTCAAGTTATAGGAAGAAAAACAGAATAAAGTGTTCTCAACCAACGAGTCACGTAATAGAGAATACCCAACCTCCGGAACGTGGGGGGAGGGGGTTGTCAGATCACTCTGGCGACGGACTTGATATCCGAGAGACCTTTTTGCTATTTCCCAACATCAAGTAAACAGCGGCAAATCGCTGTCTCATTTTATCTACGTCCCGTTCGTCGCACTATTCGTATTCAAGCTCTACCGAGTCCCGATATTTTAGAGATTTTGCGTGACAAATCGTTTCATTAACTTCCGTCTCATGCAAAGTCATCGAACATATTTTATATTCAGAGGTAATCGGTCATATGATAGGAAACAACTAACTGATTAAAAAACAACATGGTTTTCGTAAGGGGTTTTCTTGTACTACGCAACTTGTTGAATTTTATCATGACCTTGCATCTGATGTCGACGAGGGAGGGCAAATAGATTGTATATTTTTGAATTTTCCAAAAGCGTTTGACACGGTCTCACACTCACTTCTTCTCAACAAACTAAGAATGTTAAATCTAGACTCGGCTGTGCTTAGATGGATAGAAAATTACTTGTTCCAGCGTCGTCAATGTGTAGTACTGAATGGCAAGAAATCCGATTACGTTGATGTAACATCAGGAATTCCACAGGGCTCTGTCCTCGGTCCACCTTTGTTTTTAATTTATATTAATGATATTTCTGTTGGAATTTCCTCTTGTATTCAACTGTTTGCTGATGATTGTGTAGTGTATAGAAAGATTAAGAGTTCAGATGATGTCGCCCAGTTGCAAGTAGACCTTGATCGTATTCACAGTTGGTGCTCTACGTGGAAAATGAATTTAAATCACAAAAAGTGTGTTAACTTTTGTTTTACAAAGAAAAGGTAACAAATTGAATCTCAGTATTTATGCCCATATAGAAGAAGTAGTCTTAAAAGCTGGCAGGACAATGAATTTTATCCAACGAAACTTAAAATGCTCACAACCTAACTTAAAGACAACTGCTTATTTAACATGTGTTAGACCCATCTTAGAGTATGCATGTGCTGTCTGGGGATCCAGCCCAAAAAACGTTGATTGATAAGCTGGAGAAAACACAAAACAGGGCGGCTATGTTTGTTCTTGGACGATACGGGAGGAAAGAAAGCTGTACAGAAATGAAAAAAAAAAGTTAAACTGGGAACTACTTTCCGTACGTCGGGAAAAACTGCGACTAAAATTTTTATACTCAACAGTTAAAAATAAAATTAAAAATAGCGAGACTTACTTAAAAGAACCCTATAATGTTTCTAGTCGTAATGATCATAGTCTTAAAATTAGAGAGTACCGCGCTAGGACATGCATGTTTGCAAACTCCTCTTTTGTACAAGCAATTGCACAGTGGAACCGGCTGTCTGAAGAGCAAGTGTGCTGTCTCAATGAAGACGTGTTCTTTTCATCCTTGTAACCCCCCCTGCTGTAACGCCCTCGGGCACTGCGGGGTAATCATTGAATAAAGAATAAAGTGTGCGAGCAAGGATGGAAGAGTGAGAGTAGTTTGAAATCGAGCGTGCAGCACCGTGCTTACACAGTTTGCACTGTGTAAACTCGTTTGCACACATCTTCATGTTTGGAGAGTTGCAAGCCTATTACTACTTAAGTCCAGTGCTTTTATGCGCATAAGAATGTGTAGCAAATAAACCTAATACATGTATACACCAGGTCAGTACACGTTTTCAGTGCTCCGAGTAGTTACATTTGTTAATTATATTATTCGTTATTTCTCAAGCTCAACCGAATTGCCTTTCGCTGGCTTACCCGATACCAGCTGCTTCACCAAACTGAAGGAGACAACGGAATACAAGTACAGGCCTACAAAGAACTTATTGAGAAATCTGTGAAGCTCTTCAGGAACGACACAAATGACAAGGGGGAGGAGACACAGAAAGTTTCCGAAGAAATTTTGCAGTTCGAGGCCGCACTCGCAAACGTAATATATTTACCTTTCCTCTATTGGATTGAAAATATGTTATTTTTTTCAATATTTGTTTCAATATTTTGCAACGGGCCCTCCTCTGTTTTTTTTTTTTGTTTTTTTATTTCCCGAGAACACGAGTATTTATGATATTTAGAACAATTCTACGCGTCTTATATTTGCACCAGAACTCAAGGTATTGTATAAAGCGCGCACGTTTATTCATTTGGCGAATACTGAGACACAACACAGAATCACAAGGATGAAATTTCAGGCCGGTTCTACCGAATGCAAATTAATGAGGCGGTCGATACTTTCTACAGCATTTAAAATCCTTGCCTATGTTAAGTGCTGGTATATTTGTCATGGAGCTCTGAGGTAAAGCAAAATTTATCATGGACATAATTCAGTTAAGATGGCAATGCTTATTTTAGCTTGCACGTTATCACAATCATATTCAGTGATTTAAAAACTGATGAAACATTAATGAATAATGGATTTTTACAATCAGTCATTTAGGACTGTGTCATCAGTCTTGAAATCACTGACTGGTTTAAACGCTTTAAAAATTTTGATTTGCATAACATATAGAAAAGTAAGACAGACAATTCGCGAGGTAAATTGCAAGGTGTGGTATGTTGACGTGAGAGAAGAGTTAAGTTACATTAAAGCCAGTGGACATGATATCAAATGTACATCCCAGGAGAAACGCATTTCCTAATAGTTCCTTTTTACTCGGCAAAATATTGTTCAAATTACGTTGAGTTGTCAAAGAAGTAACGTAAATCTGCACACTTATGTGTAACTTATATAGGAGCACGGACTTATGTTTTAAATTTTTTTTTTCGATTCCGCTCTTTGTACTATCGGGGAAAAATGAAATGCGAACAGAGGAGCGCGTGGCTCGCGGTACGGGCTGCGCCGCCTGGAAGTGAACCTAGGGGCGAGGGTGCGTGGCCTACTTCGATGTGTTCACGCCCCTCGACTGCCGCTCCCCCAGCTTCGGCAGTGCGCCTCTCAGTGCGCTGAAAGCTGTTACCGCTATCTTTGCCTGCTCGGCGAGTGCGGCGAGCTGCTTTGCACCGCACGCGCTGAGCCAGCAAAGATAGCGGTGATAGCTTTCAGCGCACTAAGAGGCGCACTGCTGAAGCTTGGGGAGCGCAGAGGGAGGGGCGTGAACACGTCGGAGTAGGCCACGCACCCTCGCTCCTAGGCTCACTTCCAGGCGGCGCAGCCTGTACCGCGAGCCACGCGCTCCTCTGTTCGCATTTCATTTTTCCCCGATAGTACATACTGTGTTTTGTAAATTTATTCCCTCTCTCTGCACTCTGATTCTGCAAACTATATGGTTGGGCGTCAAAATAAGAAAGACGGGAACATTTGGGCACCCATCCCAAACACGGGAGCTCTCCAGGCTTGTTTTTACGATTAATTAAATAACTAGACAGAAATAAAAACAAAAACTCTAACTAGTAAAGAAATACTGTGGAGTAGATGTCAAGCCCATAAAAATGCAGACCCTCATTCGACTTTCATTTTTCATTCTTTTTAAGCTCACCTTATTAAGCGTAATCAACAGTAACTTGTCGTCGATCTACAACGAAGCGAACATCTCAATTTTGTCCGAAAGGTCTCCAGAGGTAAGCGGAACGCGAACTTTAATAGTCACTTTTATGACAACGCGTTTTCCACCTACTTATTAAGGGAGCACATTGAAATCCTTTTTCTATATGTATGTTTGTTGGGATAAGCCGGAACCCGTACAGTACTCGTACATCTCGATTAATGAGCTGCATCTGGACGTGACAGAACAACGTGCACTTGGTTACATTGAAGGGAATTATTTTCTATGTACTACTGCAAAATAGCCCAAAAGATCGCTTTTAACTTTCGTCTAAGCGTTCGGGAAGTTAACCCGAAATAGTGTTCTCAAAATGAGGGAGAGAGATGCGAATCATAAAAATAAAAGCAAAGATTAGTCTAGGCTGACACTCCGGGTTGGCTCATGTTTGCGTGCGAGAGGAAGAGGTGACTAAAGGCGAAAATAATATACAGACGGAAGAGATATAACACAATACACAAGATTACGCGAGCACACACACACCATTACATAGAGTAAATTTGTTCTACTAACGGGGGAGAAAAACGTAGCTACTTAGCCAAAGAAACGCAAGGAACTTTCTTATAGAGGCACTGGCTATGCGAAATCTAGAATTTTATTGCACCCAGCCACTGGAAACGATCACTAAACATCATCACCAGATTTAAAATAGAAATTGGGTAATTCTTAACAAAATATAAAATAATCAAGGGCCATTATACTTTGTGAAGGTGGATGGCCAGAGAACTTGATTAGCACACGACACACAACCGCAACGAAGAGCCAGAGAAACTAGACACGCGCGACGGGACCGCCACCTGACGGAAAGTAGACACGCGCGACGGGACCACCACCCCGGGAGAGCGGAAGGAAAAGAAACTAGGCATGCAAGCGCTTCGAACGACGACAGACTTAGGGCGGTGCGAGCGTAGACATGGCCAACGCGGGTCGCACAGCGGAAAATCTTTTAGAAACTTTATTCTCTACCTGAGAGGCTAATGATATTCAAAATGGTGCCTATTAATAACTAATCTACTGAATAGACCTAATGTAAATTTAGCCAAGCATCAAGCAGAATCCAAGGAATGGTGTTCCACGAGCCGCACGTGCCGGCGTCTGCAGCAGTAACTGTTCTAATGCAAAAGCCTAAAACAAATGGCATCTTGCACGCGCGTTCCTCAAAGCTTTATTTTGGTTATTTACTTCGAATCTTTTATACCGGAAAGTCGTGCACGTGCGACATGTGTGGCGGTGAGAGCGTAGATTTTTTGCTCACGCATAAGAAAAATCCAAGGGACCCTACCCATAAACAACTTGGCTGTAAAACTCGATTTTTTTTTGTTCCTGCGCGTATGACCTTTCTTGCTTCTTTAAAATGGGAATGTTGAAATACGATCACTTGCGCGCTTCTCACTCTCACGTCGTCTACGTCTTCCTTTTCATCGGAAATTACAATTAGGATTTCGATCAAGCGTCATTTCATGGCACCAAACATAACTCGACCGAGCACTCGACAATACATTCATCGAAGTGTGAAGGTCAGTTACCACGAAGAAAATTATCAACAGAGACACCGCCGATTTCTATGTCACTCGTAAAAAGCGCGCAGATGATGCATAACTCATACGTCTGTCATTTGCGGGCTTTGTTCATGATATTTCTAGAAACCAAATAGCGGCCTGGTTTATTCATGATGACTCACAGAAACTGCTTAATAAATGTCATTAATGAATGTCAAAGATATGTAACTTGCGAGTCGTGTGAGTTCCTTCTCCACCTACATCATTTTAAAGGCAGAAAAAAAAGCACGCGTTCGCGAGCGATTGTTTCGCCTTCTTTTTGCGGGTTGCTTCAATGTTTTGTAACATCATCGTGATAGGCTTGAGGGCATAAAAATAATTAAACGTCGAGTGTTCAGTACCTTTTTAAAAATAGGGAGCGTATGGCTAGCAATCACCCTCCCAGAAAAATAGCGCCAGTGCTGGCCTACCTGCTCAAAAATGCAGACGTCTCACAGTTGAAGCCCATTCACGCATCACGCATAGTCGGTGTCACCTTGGACATGTCAGCTTGCAAAGGCTACCGTAGCTTACGCAGAGCTGAAGCCCTGGAGCCCTACCAAAACAAGTGTCGTCATCTTCCGCGGTCCTTGGCTTCCCTGATCTGTAATTTTTTGTCCACGCTATGCGAAAGTTCTACCTACGGACAAGTTGAAGCACCTGAGGCGAGTTCTTGAATTTAAGAAACAACCAGTCAGGTCGCTTGAAGAACCTGACAGACAGGTGCGGATTTACAGAACTGCCGTGGAGAGTCGCTGGAGGCGTCTACATTTTCATATCTGTCGTAAAATCTCAAATACCCGTCGAAAAGATGGACGATTGGAAACGCCATATTTGCTTGGGACATGGCTGTAATATTATTGTAGAATAACATGCCACGTGAAAAGTGTTACATCAAGTTTTTTTGCGCTAAATTTACAGAAAAATTTCTTCCGCTAATTTTCGCGTGACGTCAAGTGAATGAATGTGCCGTCACACATGACAGACGTGTGACATCACGAGGGTAAATCTTTCACGCAAAGTATTGCGGAAAATTTTTCCATTAAACTTAGCCGGGAACGTTTCCCGGTAAATTTAGCGGAAATATTTTCGCGCTAGATTTAGCGACAAAATTTCCCGGGTAGAGTGGCGTCAGGTGTGTCGTCACGAGGGGGAAATTTCCCCACTAAATTTAGCGGAAAATATTGTCGCCTCATTTAGCGGGAAAATTTTATCCTCGTGACGTCACACGTGACGTCATTATAGGAAATGTCCCATAATGCAACGCGCGGTTAAGCCGACGGCGACGGCAACGGCGACGCCGCTCCACCCGGAAACGGGCGCCTAAGAGATGTGCTCTAAAACGATGTCACAGATTTCTCATTTACCACCTCTCATGAGGACGCAAATATAGTTTCTCCTCGGTGACTCCATGGTTAACGCAGATACATAGGCGTAGCACATCTGCCATACAGCTTGTCACGTTTTTGATGGGTCCTTGACTTCTTTGTTCGAAGGAACTCATCTACTCCCTGCCGCTTGTGTTGGTTTCCGTGTTTGTGAAGGTCCGCTTCAGTTCCTTCACGCAGGTTTCCCAAAACGTAAGGACAGCCTCGCAGTTATCAAACCAGTGCCTCGCCGTACCCTCCAGTAAACACTAGACGGTCTAGAGGTGCTATGCTTCCTGACGAGCCACACGTTCATAGTGGTGAAGACCGTCCTCAACATCGTCGTGGACATCACCAGGGACTATAGTTGGCTTGCGAGGCCCGACAGGCAAGGTCAGGACAGATCACCCTCCAAAAGAAATTTCGAACAGTTGAACAAAGAACTTTACTGACTTCTTTATTTTCTGCTCGGTCTTGCCTGGCAGAAAATTAAATTCCAGAGCTTGCTTCGCGACAAGGCGGCGGAATCGCATTTAAATGGCGAGTTTTCCCATAGTGTGGTCCCTCTCCTCAAACATTCAATAAAAAAAAAAAAACTTGCGGTTGGTTTTTTGTGGCAATGCAGCCAATGGTAGTGGAAAGGGGCACCGACCGCTGTACTCGCGCTTTCCTCCTTTCTTCGAATTGCCACTGCACGCCGCGTTTGCAGCCTCGGAAAGTAGGTGAAACGCGCGCATTTCAGCACGCTGGAACGTTGGAAATGGCGTCGGCTGGAAGCTTGCCTTCCGCCCGAGCCAAAAAAGCACCCAGCGAGAGCTCGTAATTTGACTGCTGCAACGTCGGGCCTGCTCTCGCAATGCTCGATGTTTTTGCAGCCACGTATTCGCGCGTTACCTTCGTTGAGTCTTGAATTGAGGTGAAATGGAGCAGAAGGGGTCAAGCTCCCACACAAAGTACAATTAGCTGCATTGCTATTGCCACTCTCATATACTCCTATGGCCTAACCTTTTTTTATGAATCTTGATATCAGTTTGCAGAAAGATAATCCTCCTTGTGTTTTCTTTTTGATAATGGCATTCCAGATTAAATGGCTGCAAATACTCAATAATGTGTTTTCAATCGCCAATATAACCCTTGAAAGAAATGAAACAGTAATTGTGTTGCATCAGCAATATATTTATGGTATCGGGAAAATTCTGAAGAACACAAGTTTGTAAGTCTCTGCATTTTTATAAACATTTTCCGCGCCACGAACACCAAGAAAAAAATTTAGATACATAGAAATTACAACAATTTGAGGGGTAATAGTTTACCTCATGTTGCGTTATGCTCTGAGGAATATAGATAACAATACATTAGCCACGTGCACTTTCCCTAATGGCATGACAATTACAAGAGTTCATGTTTTCCACAGAAGAGGCTTTTTTTTTTTAAAAAAATTCATAGCTATAGGGATAAATATGTGCTGATTTCGTTTTTGATAAGTTATATAACATCTGACAAAACCGCTTCAGCACGCTTTTCAATAAGAAGTGTATTTGTAATAAAGCAATATGGTTTTCAAAACAGAAAAAAAGGTCACCCGCAATATCGTTATTTACTATGAAAGTAAAAATAATGAATCATTTTGAAAATAAACAAATTACCAATAGAACCGGAAACAATTTTTGGTTTAAGAAAAAGAGCGTTTGATTCTGTCAAAGAGGATACCTTGATTAGTAAACTGTCGTTTTATGGAATTCAAGGTGTTGCTTTAGATTTGGAACTTAGTTACTTTAATTGCCAGTGGCAGTACACGTGTTTTAATGGATTTTGGTCCGTCAGAATAAATTTTATCTGGGGTTCCATAGGGTTTATTTTAGACCCCCTGTACATTAATATTCATAATAATGATACTGTATGTATGCCGAACACTACTAAAATTGTTTTGCATGCCGACGACACAAGCTTATTTTTTGTGGTCCATTTTTGCGTGATCTTGAAATTACTGCTAACACGTGGCTCAACGAGTTATCGGACTAATCAATTGCCGCTAAGTTTTACGAAAACAATATATGCAATGCTTAAGTCACAAGGTAAACCTGATGATTGTAAAATGATTTTAAAATTCTGAGATTCTGATTGAGCGTATCAACGTCTATAAATACTTAGGAATTATATTTGAAGAAAATCTAGGCCGGACACCTTATATGCATAAAATTCACGCGAGCAGCTCTAGATTTATTAGATTTTTATACAAAATAAAACGAATTTTTTTTTTCTATTCTGGTTAAAACGTCAGTGCACTATGCATTTGTGAACTCTCATCTCTATTACTGTATATTAGTTTGGGGATCAACAACTAAAATTATATTGATTGGTTGCTTCTTGCGCGAAACTGCCGTACGTTGCATTGAAAACCTTCAGCTTGCTGAACACGCAGCACTCTTCGTTTTTAAGCTGTTTTGTGACTATCTGTAATATATTCCTCTTTAACTTCCATTGCGTATCTATATTGAAAAAAAATTAAGGGCCAATCACGTTTTTCGACGCACATCCTAATAAACAACAATACAATCTTCGACATCGCCCTTTAGAATGCTTTGGTATAGGACGAGGTCTGGACATCAGCAATTACCATTCTTTATATGGGTGTCCTTAAAAAAATCTTACCATTATGAAAATAATTTCAGATTGCGCTTCGAGACACCAGCTTCAAAAATATAGTACAACGGTATCTTTTGTCATGTCACGTTGAGTAAATACTTAGATATAATGTTTTTACTGTGTGTGAGTTGTAATCCGTGGTTCATTTTGCCTTTATAAAATGTTAGGACAAGCACTGGCGATTGTATAACCTCTGTAAAAAATATGGTGTTCTGATTGCTGTGGATGTGCTACTATTTCTTCTTGTACTTTTTTAATGTGTTGTATTTGTTTTCGCATGGTGAGCAGTGTAAAATATTACGCAAAGTCAATGTTTTTTTGTTTTTTTTAGCCTACAACTTGTGTCTAAATGGCACTACTTCAAGTCAGTAACTTTCGGAGCCCCAGGAGGGGCTCCGAAAGTTACTAACTGCCTCCAGCCCTCCGGAATCTCTAAATTTCTGAGGCCATCCGCAAAGGACTTCACTGGGCGCTCCAAACAGAGGTACCCATCACCACACCAGAGGAACCGACGCTGCGTTACTCCGCCATGACCCGTAGACTGCCGCCTGCTACCCGCCAATACCAGGCGTCACCCCGAAGGGACAATCTGACGCCGCTGTACCCTTGCTGAGAAAACCCGACGTATGGCGACGGACGAATACCGGTTGCTGTGCTAGCAGTGCGGGCAAGCCGATTATATTTACCACCGCTCCCGCTTACCGGCAAATAAGACTGCGCACCTTCCACCCAAACGACCTCCAAATACGCTACGTTGAGCGACCGCGGGAGATCGGAGGGTACCTCCCATGCACTCAGTCTTTCCCTACTGAACCTCGCCGCCCGTCCCGGTCGCCATCCCCACGACATCCAGCTTCGCCGAAGCACGAACCCTATCGTGAGAGCCGGTTACCCTTGCTCGCAGGAAAAAACTGAGAACGGCAACCCCTAGAGGTAAATTTGCCGTAGACCAACGACAAAAGGGGCCTAAAGGACGCCGGAGACCTCCCACTCGACCGACGTCATGCATCGGAGCGACGCTACTACAATGGTGCCCAAGAGCCTCAACGGGACGTCGGCCACGAGACGTTGGCACTCTTGGACACCGGAGCATACCACTCCGCCCTGAGTTGGAGGCTTTCACGCTACCTTCAGAAAGTTACGACGCCGTGGGATGGCCCGCAAATATTAGCCCTCTGAGGGCACCTAATAACACCGTCAGGAATGTACACTGCGAGTGTTGAGATCCATGGTGAGCCCTGCCCCAAGAATGTCGTCGTTTTGAAAGACTGTGCGAGGGACAATATCCTCGGAATGGATTTTCTACGTGAGTGCGCCGCCGTAATCGATCTGGCAGCAAACCGGTTGACACTGGGAAAACCTGCCGAACCACCGGAAGAACCCAACGCCACGTCCTCGAAAGCACGTGAACGTACTGCCATGGTCAAGCATTTTCGTACCCGTCGGTACAGATAAAGCTGCATGCGGCGAAGTTCTGCTCGAGGGAAGTGTCCAGTCGTTTCTAGACAGAGGAAGCTGTGTAGTAATAGTAAAAACAAATCTTCAAGGTGGGCGTGCTATGGTCCTGGTTAGAAATTTTCGACAAGAGCCGCAACAACCCGCGGAAGGTATCGTGAAAACCGGAACTCAGCTGCGATCGCTGCACCTTCGGAAAAGCCGATTTCATCGCAGCACGAGAGAACACCGCCCTCCGAACTTTACATTTACCCGAAGCTTCCGGCCACTGAAAGAGAATGACTGCTTGACTTTTTGGGCGGGCTTGGCAATTGTTTCGCCACGCCAGGGATGCGACAAACAACGGTAGCGAAGCACCGAAACGATACTGAGGACGATGCGCTCCAAAGAGAATCGCCATACCGAGTCTCCTTGAAAAGACTCTGTACGGCGATTTAAGATCAAGTCCAGAGGATGATTCAAGATCAAGTCCAGAAAATGCTCGACGACGACATCATTTAACCTTCAAGATATTTGTGCGCGTCCATAGTCATCCTTGCAAAGAAGGACGAGACCCTTAGATGCTGTGTGAACTATCGTGTGTGAAAAAAAAAAAATTCCCTACCTGCTATCCCACATCGACGATACTTTAAACCTGCTGCTCCACTTCCGATATTTTTCGTCGCTGAACCTGAAAAGTGGCTACTTAAAAGATCGAAGTCAACGATTTTGACCACAAAAAAAACTGCCTTCGTCACGCCAGACAGACTGTACGAGTTCAAAGTGAACCAGCCACCTTCCAGCGTGTCGAAGACACCTTTCTGGCAGGTCTGAAATGGCAGGTCTGCCTCGTCTATCTCGACGATTTCGAAGTACTTACACGGGTTCTCGACAAACACCTGAAACAATTGCGAGCCGCGCTTCAAACTATCAAGACCGCCAGCCTTTACTCAAGCCCACAAAGTGCCGGTTTGCCTATGACGAGCTAAAGTTCCTCGGCCATGTCGTGAGCAACGATATGCGTCCAGACCCCGATCAGACGCGTGTCGTAGCTCGGATTTACGCCGACATCTGACAAGAAGGCGGGAAGCAAATTTCTTGGACACGGTGTGACTACTACAGGCGGTTTGTTCGAGACTTCGCCAAGCTGTCAGCACCGTTAACGCACCTCTCAACGGACTCTGTAACGTTTGAGTGCAAAGAGAAGCACCAGCGGTCATTCGATGAGCGCAGACGAACACTCCAGACGCCCCCGATTCTTGGCCATTACGACCAGTGTGCTGAAACAGAAGTTCACACGGGTGCCATTAACACCAGAGTCTGCGTAGGCAGACTCTGGTCCATAGGCAGGAGGACGCAGAGCAAAAAATCGTCTACGTAAGTCAGACACCGTCTGAGGCGGAGAGGATCTACCAAACGACTGAAACGGAGTGTTTTGTTGTCTTCTTGGCACTAACGAAGTTCTGCCCGTATATGGATGAGAGTCCTTTCCGCGTGGTCACAGGCCACCATTCGCTCTGCTGGCTCAAGAATCTAAAGGGGCCTTCTGGACGCCTCTCCCAGTGGAGCTTATACGACTGCAGGATATCGATATGACCGTAGGTACAAGTCCGGCCGGAAGCACAATGAGCCGATTGCCTGGCAAGGGCCCCCGTAGAGGCCGGTTCTGCCTGCACCAAAGACGACGACGATGAGTGCATTCTTGGCGCTCTGGATGTCAGCGACATGGCAGCACACTAACAAGACGACTTTGACGCTAACTTTCAACCGCTTTATTTGAGACAGTCAACCGAGTACACATGATCAAACACTCTTGTCTATCTTCTCAACTCCCTGTGATAAAAGCCTCATATAAGCACAAACAGATGACAATTTTTCCAGAAGAAGTATCAGTTCAGCGTTTCTACAGAAAACTAACAAAGAAAAAAAAACTCCCTTTTCATTTTGTAAAATCGAAGGCGTGCTGACGCAGTTGTCACTCGTGGACTTCATAAAATACGCTTGAGCTATTTCCCTTTCAGTCTAGCTATTTGATGCTTAAATACGTTTGAGTAGTTCTAAAAGGGGATTACACCCGCACCGCATGCAGTGTACTACAATACGTCCCTCAATTTATTACGAATCGCGAGACGA